TACTACACGCCCCCTAGGATGCTCTACGAGGGTAGAGTGGGTACAGTCCTTGGGCCGGCCATAATAGGTAGGCACCATGGTGGGGAAATGAACAAACCCTTTCTTGTCCATCCCGTCACCTTCATGCACCCCCGTGAAGTTTTGATTACAGAAATACCTTTCTGTAATTCAATATGCCGAATTAAGGTTATGATTCAGATTTTTTTAACTACAGCCGAATGGAGCGGCGAGTCTGGTACAACCGAGGTGAAGTATAGGCTGGTCTTGACCAATGGGAGCGGTTGGTGGTGTTCAAGGAGCGAGTCTGACTTTTTGTTTTTGAGCAAGCTGTTTTGGAGGTTCTGATTGGCTGCCGTTCGAAATGGCTGTTTCTCATGAGATCGAGCGAGCAGCTGCTCGCGCTGCCACTGTTCGAGGAGCAAGATTGGTCCTTGCTTGTGTAGCGTGTTCGTTAGCGTGTTCGTGAGTATGTTCATTAACGTGTTCGCTAGTGTGCTCGTGAGTGTTTTCATTAGCGTGTTCATTAGCGTGTTCGTGAGCATGTTCATTAGCATGTTCGTTAGCATGTTCATTAGCGTGTTCATTAGCGTGATCAGTAACGCGAGCGTCATATGCTCGCGAAGCGTTTTTTAACGCAGGTGGAGAGATCAGTGAGATGTTCGAGTGAGTTTTGTTACTCACGTTTTTTTTAAAAGGTCTGACAGTTTGGATCAATTGTGCGTTCAGAACGAGATGCACGTGACGAGCAGCAGTTGAGTGATCGAATGTTTTGTTGATCGCCACCGACATTTCCCTTCGTGCGATTCAAGCGGTCTTCATGTCAGATTATGTTATTTGTCTAGCCTGCAGTGGGGTGCTCAATAGTGAGTACAACCCCTTAGGGTTTCCTATATGTATCCTGCTGCTTGCTAGTTCAATCATCATTCTCCATTCTCTCTTCTCCAATTCTCCTTAGCATACCCAAACCCTAGTCCTAGGGCACATCCTACTACCTCTTAGTGTGGGCCTAGGCTACTAAGCCTAGGCCCCACTCCTAGTATTCCTGACATGGTATCAGAGCCAGTACGTTCCTGCCGCTTACCTCCATGGGCCCACCACCTGCTTCCGCTGCCGTACCGTCCGCCGCGCGCCCCGTGGTGCACGGCGGCGAAACCCTATTTTTTTTTTTTTTTCATCCCGCCGCGCGCTCGGAGCGTGCGGCGGTTTTCTGCCCGCCGTGCGCCCCGAGGCGCGCGGCGGTTTTCTGCCCGCCGTGCGCCCCGAGGCGCGCGGCGGCTTTCTGCCCCGTCACTCCGCGAGTCGCCCCCGGGAGGAGCTGCGACGGGCGACGGGGACCCGCGCGTCGCCCCCCGTCGCCCGTCGTGGCCCGTGCGACCTCCGTAGGGCCCGCGCGCGGCCCGTCCAGCCTGCGCGCGGCCCGTACGGGCTGCGCCAGGCCCGCGCGCGGCCCGTACGGGCTGCGCCAGGCCCGCGCGCGGCCCGTACGGGCTGCGCCAGGCCCGCGCGCGGCCCGTACAGGCTGCGCCAGGCCCGCGCGCGGCCCGTACGGACTGCGCCAGGCCAGGGCGCACCTCGAGCCGCCCGCCACTGCAGCAGCAGCCCCTGGAGCCGCCCGCCACTGCAGCAGCAGCCCCTGGAGCCGCCCGCAACTGCAGCAGCAGCCCCTGGAGCCGCCAGCACCTGCAGCAGCAGCCCCTGGAGCCGCCAGCACCTGCAGCAGCAGCCCCTGGAGCCGCCCGCAACTGCTGCAGCAGCCCCTGGAGCCGCCCGCCACTGCAGCAGCCGCCCCTGGAGTCGCCCGCCACTGCAGCAGCCGCCCCTGGAGCCGCCCGCCACTGCAGCAGCCGCCCCTGGAGTCGCCCGCCACAGCAGCAGCCGCCCCTGGAGCCGCTCGCCACTGCAGCAGCCGCCCCTGGAGTCGCCCGCCACAGCAGCAGCCGCCCCTGGAGCAGCCGCCCCTGCAGCAGCCGCCCCTGGAGCCGCCAGCAACTGCAGCAGCCGCCCCTGGAGCAGCCGCCCCTGCAGCAGCCGCCCCTGGACCTCAGACGCCGCCCCTGGACCCGGTACGCTCTGCTGCTGCCCGATGCTGCCCGTGCCTGTGCTGCCCGTGCCTTGTCCCTCGAGCCTACTACCTACCTACCTGTTGTCAGAATATTATGCTCTAGCCTGTAGTGGGGTGCTCTGTAGCGAGTACAACCCTTCTAGGGTTTGCTATTTGTATCCCCATTCTTGCTAGTTCATTCCTCTTTTGCCTAATTCTCTCGACATGCTATCAGAGCGGTTACGCTCTTGGCCTGTGGGCCCCACTACTGCTTCCGCTGCCCTACTCTGTGCTGCGCGCCCCGTGGCGCGCGGCCTTCAATTTTTCATCCCGCCGCGCGCTCGGGGCGCGCGGCGGTTCCCTGCCCGCCGTGCGCGCCGAGGCGCGCGGCGGTTTCCAGCCGTGGGGGAGCCCGCGCGCACCCCGCCCGTCCGTCGCGGCGCCCTGGGGAGCACTCGCGGCCCCCACCCTGCACGTCGCGCCGCCCCCGTCGACCCTCGCGTCGCCTCCGGGGACCCGCGCGCACCCCCCCACCGTCGAATCGCCCCCCCGTCGCCCGTCGTGGCCTGCGCGCGGCCCGTACAGCCAGCGCACGGCCCGTACGGGCTGCGCCAGGCCTGCGCGCGGCCCGTACGGGCTGCGCCAGGCCCGCGCGCGGCCCGTACGGGAAGCGCCAGGCCCGCGCGCGGCTCGGGCCGCCTGCGCGCGGTTCGGGCGGCTGTGCCAGGCCCGTGGGCGGCCCGTTCCTCGCTGCACCTGCCCTCCCCACTGTCCCCCGTGCTTCTACTGGCGCCCTACCCCTCCTACAGCCCGTTCTCCTGAATTAGGGTTTGGGGGTGAGGGGTATGGGGGTGAAGCCACTGAGTGCCGTTCCCTGCTCCTCCTCCTCCTCCCTAGTCTCCCTCTGCTACAGCTGCCACTGAGGGGGGTGGTGTGTGGGAGCCTAGGGTTTGGGGTTTAAGGGGGGGTACCGTGGGAGTGGAGCTAGGGTTCAGCAGGGGGTGTGTGTCGAGGGGTGTGTGGGGCAGTTGGAGGAGGTTGAGCGGAGGTTGCCGTCGTGTCGTCCGCAGCACCTGTATTCCGGGGCCTTTCTCCTCCCGGTAGCTCAGAGAGCCGGTTGCATCTGTCGCCCGTGGGTCAGTTGCTACTGTCGCTGGCTGATCAGACGCAGAGCCTGTTACTCCTGTATTCCGGGGCCTTTCTCCTCCCGGTAGCCACCAGCGTTGCACCAGAGCCGTCTGTTGCCCGTGTGTCTGCAGCTTCAGTCGTCGCCTCCACTCTTCTCTCATCTCACCAGCCCTCCTCCTCCTCGCTTGCCCTCTGTGACAGCCTCTAGCTTTACCCATAATTGTGAACTTTAAACTTTTGCTTCTTGCTCATGTGCTCAGAATGTGTGGTGACATCGTGATCCACCCTGAGCTTGTACTGCTTTGCTTGCTGTGCTGATTACACCCCACTTTGGCTATGGGGGTGTGTCAGAATATTATGCTCTAGCCTGTAGTGGGGTGCTCTGTAGCGAGTACAACCCTTCTAGGGTTTGCTATTTGTATCCCCATTCTTGCTAGTTCATTCCTCTTTTGCCTAATTCTCTCGACACCTGTGCCTGTGCCTGTGCCTGTGCCTGTGCCTGTGCCTGTGCCTCTGCCTGTGCCTGTGCCTGTGCCTGTGCCTGCTCGTGCCTTGTGCCTCGAGCCTACTACCTACCTACCTGTGCCTGTGCCTGTGCCTGTGCCTGTGCCTCTGCCTGTGCCTGTGCCTGTGCCTGCTCGTGCCTTGTGCCTCGAGCCTACTACCTACCTACCTGTGCCTGTGCCTGTGCCTGTGCCTCTGCCTGTGCCTGTGCCTGTGCCTGCTCGTGCCTTGTGCCTCGAGCCTACCTACCTACCTACCTGCGCCCTCGTGCCTTGTGCCTTGTGCCTTGTGCTTCGTGCCTTGTGCTTCGTGCCTCGTGCTTCGTGCCTCGTGCCTCGTGCCTCGTGCATCGTGCGCCCTGCTCCGCGCTGTTGCTCGGCACGCGCGGTTGCCCGCGCCCTCGTGCGCTCTACCCTACCTGCTCCGCGCTGTTGCTCTGCACGCGCGGTTGCCCGCGCCCTCGTGCGCTCTACCCTACCTGCTCCGCGCTGTTGCTCTGCACGCGCGGTTGCCCGCGCCCTCGTGCGCTCTACCCTACCTGCTCCGCGCTGTTGCTCTGCACGCGCGGTTGCCTGCGCCCTCGTGCGCTCTCCCGCCCCGCCCCCCCCCCCCCCCCTGGGTCCCCTGGACAGGAGGGTGTGGGGGTGGCGGGTGTGGGGGTGCTCCTTGTGCGTCGCCCCTTCCTTCTCCTCCGTCTCCCACTGCTGCAGCTGCCGCTGCGGGGGGGTGGATGTGTGGGAGACGAGGGAGTGGCGCTAGGGGGGTGATGTGGGCGAGAAGCGAGTGGTGACACTGGGGGTGTGTGTAGGGGGGAGTGAGACAGTTGGAGGAGGTTGCAGCCTGGTGCTCCTGGTGCCCGTGTGTCTGCAACTTCAGTAGTCGCCTCCTCTCTTCTCTCCCTCCACAGTTCCTCCTCCTCCTCACTGGCCTCCTGTGACTGCCACTAGCTTTGCTGATAATTGTGAACTATTGCTGTGACTTCTCACGTGTGCTGATTACACCCCACTTTGGCTATGGGGGTGTGTCAGATTATGTTATTTGTCTAGCCTGCAGTGGGGTGCTCAATAGTGAGTACAACCCCTTAGGGTTTCCTATATGTATCCTGCTGCTTGCTAGTTCAATCATCATTCTCCATTCTCTCTTCTCCAATTCTCCTTAGCATACCCAAACCCTAGTCCTAGGGCACATCCTACTACCTCTTAGTGTGGGCCTAGGCTACTAAGCCTAGGCCCCACTCCTAGTATTCCTGACACTTCATCACAACCGTACACAGATGGCGCGAAGAGTAAAATTCGAATGTGCACTGTTGGAACTCTTCGCGCTCGACTTACTTCACCGCCGGGATAAGACCTTTGTCCCGGTCGCTGATGATGGCCGTGTCGTCCCGTCCCTTCCAGTCGGAGCAGTGCTTATGAAAGAGGCCGCAAAACCAGGTCCATGTGTCCTTGGTTTCGCTCTCTACGAGCGCCCACGCGATGGGGATGATCTGCTGATTGCCGTCCATCGCGTTGGCGTACAGCAGAGTAGCCTTCTGAGCACGGATCAGGAAAGTCCCGTCCATTGCGATGACAGGCCTGCACGTCTTCAGTGCTTCGCGTGTTGCACTCGGCGCCATGAAGAAGCGGAGAAATTCGTGATTGTAAGTCAAAAGCTCCATGGTTGCTCCGCTGTCGATATGCCGAATGCGCTCTTGCACCGCCGGAATGTAGCGGAATGACTCGCACCAGTCGCTGAATCGCTGCGCCGTGATGCCTACCTTCAGCCTGCATGGGTGGAATGTATGGGTGGTACCGGGACATGAGTGATGTGGAGGCAACAAAGTCGCTAACAGAAAACCTCCCTTAATGTTCGGCCTATGACGGGTGTACGCTCACCGGTCGGCGTTGTTGTAAGTTAACTTCGGACCAGAGCAGGCCTGAATCTGCCTGGCGTAGTCCCAAGGGGCGTTGAACGGCGCTGCACGGACGAAGTTGCCGAATTTCCGCCAAAGGTACTTCCTCTTACATCCCATACCCGGCCACCACCAGGTCCGGTAAAGACGGTCGCATATGTGATCTGCGGGATCGGATAGCTCTACGATTCGCCACGGTCCGTTCCGCTCGAGACGAGCGTAGCTGCACCGCCATGGACAAGGGGGGCCCAACCCAAGCTTCTGACTCTTGCACAACGCTAGCGCCGATGCCCTTCTGGTAGACTTCATGTAGAAACCGTATTTATGCACTACCGCATCATCAAGCAAGGCAAAGAGGCAATGATCCCGCGAGGAGTACCAGTTACCCTCCTGAATGGCAGCGTTGTCATTGATAGAAGGCCCCTCCTCGGGTTCAAACTCTATGTTGAACTGCTCCTGGATAATGTCATACATGTCACGGCCATTAGCCGGAGGTTCCTCCATTGTGGAAGTATCTGATACAACACCTAGGTTATCCACTCGCAATATGTAGATGGTCATCCGCTGCCCGGGTTTTTTAACGGCGAGACGCGAGCACATGTTTACGCCATGTAGAACTGCATCTGGTGTTGGAGTATGATGTACTCGGAATCCCTGACATTTTGTACCACAACTAGGAACAACAACAATTGACTTGTCAGTCCCAGGTGGCATGATCCCGGCAGTGGTTGCCACCGGTGCGTATCGTCAGAAGTCGCGGCGATTGAATTGTGTTTTGATCGCTGGCGCGTTTATTACCAGATTCTGAACACATTATACCCAATCAAGCCCAGACGTGTGGCATGTATATGTCAAAGTGGCGCGATAATTGCAAATATGAACGGACCGTTCAGAAATTCGCGTAGACGCCGCCAACATAACGATTCGCATGCATTCTTGCATGACGTGTCTGTTGCAAGTACTCGCACGTGGAAGCTAGGTCAGAACGACAGAATTCAACCGAGTCGCCCGACACATGAAGTTGTGTAGCGCAGGTTCACGGTAACGTATCTGTAGATGCGCCTGGCACGCCCGAAAGAATGGTTAAAAAACACTGGCCAGTCTTGTTTCGCCACGTTCAACCACACAAGCCTCCATTCCCCCACCGTTGTGAACCGAAACTGATTGCCGAACCTGGACGCGCCACACCTACGCCAAACCGACTTCCACACAGTCAGGAGCGAAATGCTCAATAGGACGATACTGCGTGGCAGGGAAGTTGGGTGTCAACCAGCAAACTGCCCACCGACAATTTGGAACCCACAAAAAAAAAAAACCCAAAAGGTGTTTAAATTAAGCTAAATCTAGGGAGCGCGTACCGCTCGCGATAGAAGGTGGAGCGTGTGTCTTTCGGGTTGTGTAAAAATTTGAGCGCGATGAAAAAAATGCAGGAGACCAAAGCCCGCGCCACGGTAATTCTCTCACAGAAAGGGAAGGAAACGCGAGAGTGCTCGCGCTACGAGAAACGAGACTGCGAACGTGAAAAATGGAATTAGGTAGAATAGAAATAGAGCTAATATAAAATGGTGTGTTCTTGCTGTTTTTTAACATAACTTGAGTAAAGGATTTCTCCAGTGCCTGCTACAAGTACGCTTCCACAGATTATTCTCTTGACAACGCCAAGGAAGCGACCATCGCTACTACACTTTGGCTGTTGCTACAGCTCTCTCTCTACACACTCGGACCCTTGGATAGGGGCTGACCTCGGTCAGGCACCCAAGGACCCTCGGAGGTGACCCCGAGGAAAGAGTTTCTGTGACTACTAAGGGTACATTCCTAGCTCGTGTCTGACATCAGTTTATCCGTCCTTGGATGCTCGGAAGACCCGAAGAGGCTCGAAATTGGGGGCAAATCAACATTGGGGGAGACAAATCAGAGACTAAGGGCGGATGACCTGATGTCAGACATGGGGTAGGAATGTACCCCAAGGCTGTTACCGTCATCGCCCGGATATAAGACATACCTGTCTTATCTCGTACACTAGAAAAAATGCTTGGGTTATCTTGTATTTGGGGAGGTTTTGGGTGTCTTATAAGTCTTATAAATGGAAACTTTTTAAACTACTTAGAAAAAAAATTCACACATCTTGAAAAGCATTTCTCATAATGAGTGTGGATGTTGTGAAGGTGCCTCTTCGTCAACCATTGTTTGAGAAGCCACGTCATGGAGAATACGTGCAGAGGCAAATTTGGTAGTACCTGCATCAGCACGTGGAAGCATTCGCGTGTCGCAAGGTTAAAATTGTACGCGGTATTTCAAGTTTCACAATGATATACTGCAGTTTCGATTATCAGGCAAATATGTCTTATCTCGTACACACAAATAGGTGTCTTATAATGAGGCTAGCCTGTTTATAAGAGACACCCGGATAATAGACAACCCCTGTCTACTATTCAACACTGTCTACTATCCAGGCGATGACGGTAATAGCCAAGCTTAGTGCGTTTCAATAGTAACATGAAGGGTGGGTGGCTGATGGCGAGAGAGGGGCAAATAAAATCGCCCGAGAAGGAAGCTAGGGAGGGGAGATGCTTAGTTTCCTATGGGTGCAATTCCTTGAAGGGAGATGACTGTTCTGCAAGAATTTACATTTGATTAGGTTTGTAGGGAAATGACTGCCACGCCATAATTTTCCGGGCTGACGGCCCTTTCGAAACGGAAATTGCAAAGGCAGGTAGCTTCGCATTTCCCCTCCCCTTCCCCCTGTGATGCCCACAGAACAACACTAGTGAGTTGAGTTCTGTGTCAAATGTTATAGCCTCTAGTGGGTTATGCTATATGGGGTACAAACAGTTAGGGTTAGGTATTTGTACCCCAACCCAATCAATCTAACTCACTAAGCTGTTTTCACTTCGTGAGATGGTATAAGCGGTAGGTTTGCCGTTCCTAGGCCACACCTATTCTCCGCCGTTCCTAGACTTAGGCCGTCCCTAGCCTTCGTGTGCCCCACCCCCCCCTCGTTCGCCCTAAGCTCGCTAGCCAGCAGGCCCACCAGCGCCCTAGCCAGCAGGCCCCGCCAGCGCGCCCCGCGAGCGCGCACGCCAACGCGCCCCGCCAACACGCATGCCAGCGCGCCCCGCCAGCGCGCACGCCAGCGCGCCCCGCCAGCGCGCACGCCAGCGCGCCCCGCCAGCGCGCACGCCAGCGCGCCACACCAGCGTGCACGCCAGCGCGCACACCAGCACGCCACACCACCGCGCTGCCCGCCCGTCGGCCCGCCGCGCCGCCCGCCGGCCAGCGCGCCGTGCCACCCGCCAGCCAGCGTGCCGCGCCGCCAACCAGCCAACACGCCGTGCCGCCCACCTGTCCGCATGCCGCGCCGCCTGCCCGCCTGCACTCCTGCGCGCCTGCCCACACGACACTGACTGTCTCACCATCCCGTGGCTGGCAGCCGCGCTCTTTCACTTTCGCCCCTTATGGCGACCTCCCGAGTACTTCGCTTTGACCCTGAGGGGAGACCGATTGACTTTAGTACGTGGCTTACGCAGGCGCAGCGCCACCTTAAGAGCCAGCGGCAGGATGGCGTGCACCTGTTCGCACACGCGTCCGGTACTCAGATCGCCCCTTAGCAGCCTAACCCGTTGCCCACTACCCCACCGCCTACTCCTGAGCAGGAGGCCGAGTACCGGCGCCAGTTCCTCGCTCGCGACGTGTGGGAGTCTCGTGACGCCGCTGCCTGCCTCGCCCTGACCGACCTTCTCCCGCCGACAGAGGCAGTCCACTTCACTCAGGTCGAGTCTGCTGCAGATCTGTATAAGGCTATTGTTGCTCGCTACTCCACTCCCTCCTCTGCTTCACTCAGTCGCCTCCTCGTACCCTTTATCTACCCTGACCTCGCCTCCTTTGAGACTGTCTCTGACCTCGCTACCCACCTTCGCTCCCTTGACGCTCGCTTTCGCGCTGCTTGCACTGAGGACCAGCTTGCCCTTGCCCCGCCCCCTATGTGGCTCACTATTCACTGGCTAGTCACTCGCCTCCCTGACCGCCTAGCCACAGCCCGCGACGCGCTTCTTCTGAAGCACCCCACTGAGCTTACCATCGATCTTCTTGAGACTGCTCTCTCGAAGATCGAGAGTAACCTCCTCACTGTTGCCTCTGCCTCTTCCGTGCATCCTCCTCGTCTTTTTGAGGGGTGTGCGGTACCACAGCTTCCCACCTTCACTGCCTCGCTTGCCAGCCCCACGTCTTCGGCCTCTGAGGAGACGGCGGCTATTTCTGTCTCTGGCAGACAGAAACGTGGCAAGGCCGAAAGAAGGGCGGGAAGGGCGGCGGGGGTACTGGAGGTGGTGCGGGTAGTGGCGGTGGCGGTGGAGCAGGTGGTGGGAGTGGTGGTGGGGGTGGCTCGGGACCTGACAGCCCTCCTCCCAACGGTGGAGTTTTCACTGGTGGTGAGGGGTTCCAGCAGCAGCAGCAGCCGGCTTCTCAGCAGCTGCCACCGCATGGACAACAGCAGAGGCAGGGACAGCAGCAGCAGCGACAGGGCCAGCAGTAGCGCCCGCCTTAGCAGCAGCCTCAGCAGTGGGGCCCTCCGCAGCAGTGGAGGTCTGCGGGTCCCCCGAGCACTGGGCGCAGTGGCCCCCCCTCCAGTCGGGGACCTCGCTCGGCCGGTCGCGACGTTGGTCCCTGTGAGTACTGGATCCTTACGGGTCCACGTAGGGACTCGTACTGTGGCCGCCCTGACCACTGCAAGCTGCACGCTGCTTCAGTCGTCTCGACGACCTCTACCTCTTGCACCACGGCCCCTCCGCTCCCCCGCCGCCACGCTGGGGGACACTTCTTGCTCGTGGTATTGCTGTTTTTGATATGACTATGGATGATGCTAGGTCATATGCCATGTATGCTGATGTTGACTATAGTGCTCCTGGATCTGTGTACTTGCCTGTACCTAGCGTAGGATCTTTGCCTGTTGCTAGAGTAGGTGCTAGTGTAGGATCTTGTTTAGCTACTAGTACAGGTACTCCCTCGGCGGACGCGTCTCTCTCCTTCACACTGGACTCGGGAGTGACTCAGTGCTTCTTTCGCGACCGCACGACTCTCTCTCCACTACCGGCGCCAGTCTCCATAGCACTGACCGATCCCTCTTCTGGATCGGTCATTGCGACTCACGCCACTACACTC